CCCCAAAACCCCAAAACCCCAAAACCCCAAAACCCCGAGCTTTCGAAAGCTAGCTGAATCCTTATATATCCAAGTTTTGACAAAGAAATGTCACGTCACAGAATTAGAATAGTGGGTAAAACAGTTGTACCTTTGGGCCATTGGCTTCGATAGTTTTCTGGAAATAGCTGGTGAAGGCCCGGTCGTCCCCCAATTGCTCTGTGTACTTTGAATACAGAGACTTGTACCAATTAGTCACCTTTGGGAAAGCAGAAAAGTCTATCTTGTCGAAGAAGTCTTCTTTCAGAGCAGTGTGCTCCAGAGCGAACAGGTCTCTGAAGAATGGCAGGATCATCAGGTCTACCATTGTTTCACGAGTGGTCCCTTGGATGAAGGGTTTTGATTCGTCATCGGGGAAATTCTGTTCGGCCCATTCAAGAGCTTCCAAAATTACCGCTGGTCCTTTATTTCTGGCTTCTTGATTAGCATACACTAAAATAAAAGGAACCACTTTTTGGAACCACAGTTGGATGGTTTCTTTAGCCGATGGCTTAGAAGTCTCTCCATCAGGATAGAGCTGGATACCTTGGCCAGGGTATTTCTCTTCAATCCAGTCACAGATGTCTAAGGAGTCATGGATCAGAGTACCGTCAGGATGTTCCAGCATTGGGACCAGACCCTTGTTGATATCATAATGCCACCTATTTTTGGTAGTAAGATCAATCCCGACAAACTGGAACTCTACTTCTTTAGCTGAAAGGGTCAGAAGAGTTCTTTGTACGAAGGGACACATAGGATGGCCATAGAGACGAACGTAATTTGAATTACGAAGGGGCTTTGCAGTAAGTCCATTAGGAATGATGATGTCTTGTTTAGACTGAGACAAATCAAGCGGAGTCACATCGATAGGATAGGCAAGATTTATCGAATTATCAGCCTGTTTGTTTTTGATCTGATTGACATATTGCCACTTTGTGACGTACGAATCCTTCAAAGCTGGATGTTCGAGAATGTTCTCAACATACTTGACAATATTTGGATAAGTCTCGAGGCTGAAATCTTTCAAAGTGTCGAAACTACCATGAAGGGCGAAATAGAATCTGACTAAAACTGGAGATAAAATGATATCAGCAAGACCAATCTCATTCTGATTCAGCAAGTATGAGTTTCCTTCAGTGTTTTGAGAGAGATCTTCTTCTAATTCTTGGAGTCTCTTTCCAAGAGTATCAATGTCCTCTTGTTTCCCCCAGATAGTAGCTTTAAAGCTGGCAAAGATGAATCCTTCATCTCTTTTCTTGATATATCTCCTGATTTTAGCAGCTTCGAAAGGGCTTTGTGGAAGTAACTGAGCGCCTTCGTCTGAATGATCGAGTGCAAATTGGACAACTACATCGCTTTCAGAGACAAAGTCACCATCTGTGGACTCTAGAACAGGCACTACTCCTCCTTCCTTGACGAACCACTCTGGCTTAATACTCATATCAACAAAGATAGTTTGGTATTGGATTTCCTTTGCAGCAAATGCTAGTCTTGATCTTTCTGCAAATGGGCAGATAGGGTGCAGGTAGAGTCTTAGCATATTCCTGTTCGTCTCTATCTTCTCTGGGAATTGAGGACCCCCACTCACAACCAATTGTTCGCCACTTTGGGTTTGCTCAGAAGTATATTCGACAGTGTGTAACATATTTTAGATTTAATTACATCAATCCATGTGGGTTTTTATGGGGTTTTGGGGTTTTGGGGTTTTGGGGTTTTGGGG